AATGAGGGCATGGAGGGACCCGGGGAAAGGCTGCTGGAGATTTCTGTGCACAGTCGGTGTGCTGGAGCGTGAGCTGGGGAGACAGCAGAGGCTGAGTGGAGCAGGGTTGCCCTGGAAACACGCTGCATGTGAAGGGCTCCAGTGCCCATGGTTTATATTTATGAGGCCGATGACATGTGCCACGGCTGAGTGATGTCAGGAGAAGCGGGAGCTGAGAGGGCTGCGTCACTCTCCACGGCTGAGCGCACCCCACCGGTGCGGTGCTCCTGGCTCCGGGGTGCAGCGCTGGCCACCACGCTCCTGGGGACCCACACATACACCTGGCACCTACACGAGTGCCACCGTGTCCAAAAGCCCCCTGCCCCAGGAGCAGGAAGAACCAACGTTGGCAGGGTCGCAGTGGGACCTGGTGACAGGGCACAGCCCATCACACCTGACCGTCCCACTCCTCCGGCTCCAGGCCAGCAGAAGCAGCAGCTCTGGATGCGGAGCGCAGCCAGGAAAGGAGACGGTGCTGCCAGGGCTCGCTCCTGCACTAGATGCTGCTACAGAGCAACATAATTCTAATTATAGTAACGGTGTCAGTGCTGAACAGGGGGGAAAATACACACTTCAAAAGGTCTAGAACTATGTAATTTGCTGCTGGCAAGACTCACTACCAAAAAAATCCCCATAATCCAGCATGTTTTTAAAGTAATTTGCACTTATCTGACTTGCTTTAAATTAGCTAAAGGTTCTTCAGGGGGTGGGGTGAGGTGGGCTTAGAAGCAGCAGAGATTTCTGGTTAAAACTGCCTTGCTGTTCATGTGGCTTTACACTAGTTTTAGATGAAACAGCGACATTTGGCAAATCTATGTTTAATCTAAATATAGCCCAAAAAAAAGTCAAGTCAGTACAGCTTTACTCTTCCAGTTAGATAAAGGAGGGGGTGGGGTGGGTAGGCAGACGTTTAAAAGTCACTTCTTCGATGTGTTTTGCTAGCAATGCTTTCTTAAATTATTTGGTTGTGTGGACCGACATGTAGATCAGAACTGCAGGACTGGGGATTTAGCGTGAGTAAACTGCAAACCACTCCTGTAAATTCCTTCTCCAGTTCCTGCTGTCCCTGAAAGCACCCATCACTGTCACTGTGTCACTGTCACTCCCCCTGGAGAGCAGCTGCTGCTCTCTGCATGCTTCACCCCTGGGGATCCCCCGGGGACTTGCTGGGGCAGTGAGGTGAAGCAGAGCAGGGGGGAGAAAATAGTAACCCTGGAGCTGCTCTTTGACATTAGAGCAAATCCCTGCCGAGAAACTCACTGTGTACCTCTCACTCACTAGTGAGCCACCAGGACTAGTCCCTGTGCAGACACAGAACAGTCCCTTCCTTGAAAAGCCACAGGGTAAACAGGTAAGACAAAGCATAGAGAGTAAAACCAGCCCCAGTCTGGCTTAGTGGAGATGATTTGTGTCCTGTCAGTGGGGAGAACGACAGGATCATGGTCTGGCCCCACCTAGGGTCATATTCCATACTGGAAATTTCTGTTTCTTGCCCCCCGGAGAAATTTTCCCTTTGGGGATGAATGCACTATGCAAGACACCAGCTGGGACATGGAAAGAAAAAGGCTGTCAGATGGATTCTTAAATTAAATGGACAATGATGAGTCTGTTCCAGCCCAGCAGAAAGGGACGGATGGAACAAGGGGCCCTCAAGAAGGAAACAAGCTACTGATCTGAGGCTTGGTTAAGGACAAACAGGGCTTGAGTCAGAAATACCTTGAAAGCATGATCAGATCCTGCGGCAGGGTGAATCGGATGATGATTTATTTACATGTGCTGATTCACTTTTCATGCAGTACTGCGTGTGTGTTTCCAAGTCCAAATCCCCTTGGCACAAGGCCACGTCAGCCAGCATTGTTCCCTGGGGCAAGGGAAGGAAGACCCCCACATGCAAGAGTGCCAGTCTGCTGCCTTGCTACCCTGTGCCTCAGTTTCCCCACTGAGCAATGGATGGTGGTGGGAAATTCAGAGCAGAAAGCAGGTCCTTAGGAAGCTCCCACACTGCCCCCAAGTCTCAGGCTGCACAATCCAAATGAGAGAGGAAAGCTTGCTGCTGGCGTTGGGGGAAGGGGATTAATCAGCAGGAGATGACAACAGCAGTCCAGGCTTTCGTTAATTAGAGGAGGGCATGCGCTGATGCAGGCAGCATCTCCCACACTGCCCTGGGGAGTGTGTTTCTGCAGTCACGTTCTTCTGCTCCTGGGAGACGCTGGGAGTTTCTAGCTACTGCTTCAAATCACAGCCCTGTGAGCAGAACTGTGTCAGGTAACCTGTGACCCGAGACCTTCCCCTGGGGAGATGCTGCAGGACTGCGAGGAAGATAAACATGTTTGGCACTGCACACATCAGGCTATTACCGCGTCAGTCCCAGCATCCTGCACTCGGCCGAAAGGTGGCTAGGAAGCAGAGCCGAAGACCAAGCCTTTCACAAAAGTTTTTCAGAAGAGGAACCCCAGAAACAGACCCCTCTCTAGCACACGTCGTTCGTGCTGGAGAACTTCCTCTCATAGTGGATTTATGATAGGCTGTGAGTATCTGTACATAGAATTTACTACAGCAGGATGAAGGCCAATGGCTGCACACACAGGCTGCAAACACAGACCAATATAGAGCAGAATTCAGGCGTAAGGAGAATTATAGACCGGCACAGGTGATCTATGGATCTGTGGCTGCCATATCACTTCATGTTTTCATTGGATCTGAATGCTTGTCTAAGAGATCTTACACAGCCCAGCCACATATTGATAGTGGCAGTGGGAGATAAAATTATCTGGCTTGTCCTGTGCAGATCAGAGTAGACAGTTCCTTCTGGCTTGTAAAAGAATCCATATGCACATATATAGGAACTGGGATAATAAGACCCTAGCTTCAGTCATGGCCTTTGGACACTGTTTTACAAATAAGAACTATACAGCACTAATACTGGGTTTGGTGGGAATAGATCTTTTTGGAAATATTTGGATAAGGATCTTCTTTGCCCTTTTGGCTTAGATGAGGTGCCTGGTTACCAAGCACAGACGCCGTTACAGGGGATTCAGTTCTGGTTCTGTTGTGCAGAGGAGAGTCTTCCCCCAGCACCACAGCACTAGGAACAGGCAGGAGGAAATGTAACGGGGCAGACTCTGCTGGATAAAGCATGAATCAACAGACCCAACTGCCAGTAGGGGTTTTGGGCTGGAGGTATTTTATGTATGGGTATCATGAAAGCTTTTCTAATTAGTCTTCTGGAAGATGAAATGCCTACATTGACCCTGGCAAGTGCCCTTCTCAGCCGGCTCACAAAGGACTGAAATGGCTCGTTAAGTCATCTGCAATCAGCGGTGAGGCCCTACAGCTCTGAATACTTGATACCCTGCCATACAGCAATTTTCTCATGTGAAGAGAAGCAAGAACAGTCAGGCACCTCTTCCCCATTTTCCCTCTCTCTGCCAAATGAGCCTTTTTTCTTTTTCTTTTTTTAAGCTGTTCCCTTAGAAACAGCCCGCGTAGCCCTCTCGCCCTTCCTCCCCTCCACACCATACAGCATGGCAGCAGTGCTCAGCAGGGCCATTCCCTGCAGCTCCCTGGGCTCTCTCTCCCTGCTCACACTAAACGAGCGTGGCACAGACTTGTGCAGCCCTTTGGTAGCACGCAGAGGAGATGTTTATGGCAGACGTGCTGAGCAAGGGAGGCAGCACACCAGCCTCCACGCTGTGACCTCAGTTGACAATTATGCAGCCGCTGCTGGCAAGCTGTGGCCCTTCCCCTGTGTTTGGACACCCCCCCCCGCCTGTTCACCCGAGTGAGCTGTCAGGCTTTAAAGGCTGCAAAATACCTGATTCAGCTTCTCTTCACATTCATGCACAGAAAATGTTAACCCCAGCCCACTTCCAGCTCTAGACTGAACTCCCAGTTCCACTAGAGCATTGCATTATAAAATGAAATCACCCCCTTTGCTGGAAATGCATCAGCCCCTGCTGTCAGTTCCAGCAGTTTCTAGCCAATTTCTTTCACAGAGCTTAAAAAAGTTGGAAAGGACTGGAGCAATGGATAGGAACAGGAACGTCTCAATACCAGATTTTCTGTGTTGGAAAAGATGACATGATCTACAGAGACATGCGAACCAGGGGAAAGGTTCAGAGCACATCTGTGATTTAAATAAACCCAAAGAAGTTGAGTCTGTGTCTGAGCTGTGCCAGTTCTGTCTAAAGTCAGGTCTCTAAAAGCACAGATTGGAACGTGGAAGATAACTGCTATATGAATTCACACCGCCTGTCCTGTCAGATCAGGGTTCTTAACTGGCAATGGCTGGCACCAGCTCTCTGCTGAGAAGGTTCGAGAAATCCTGCTGCACACTAATCACAGATGACTTGCTCCGAGAGCAGGTTTCCTCCTGATCCTGACAAAGAGTTTAAATATGAAAGTTGATTGCACTGCAAAATTCTTTTTTTTTTTCAGTGAAAAGGTCTTTACTAAAACTCACAGATGACTTGCTCCGAGAGCAGGTTTCCTCCTGATCCTGACAAAGAGTTTAAATATGAAAGTTGATTGCACTGCAAAATTCTTTTTTTTTCAGTGAAAAGGTCTTTCTAAAACTCTGGGTCTCCTCCCCAGGAATGTCCAATACCATTTGGATCTTGCTAAGTTTCTGCTAAGTCTCAGGAAAACACTCAGGCAATTTGCAGGCTTGCTGTAAGGACAGCCTTGCATTTGATAACTGGCCTTTTGGATGCCTTTCTGTGTGCTCCAGCCTCTAGCGGGATGCTTGTATTTACAAAGATTAGGAAACTAGAAACCTTTTCATTCCCACCTCCACTTTGGCTGCTGCTTCTGAAACACATGAAGGCTCCTGTTCTCCAGAGAAACCATCCACATGTTTTTTTCTCAATTTGTTCACACTGGGAACAAAATTCATGGTGGGGCATGTTCTGTGGGAGCTAATATCCAAGTGGGTTTGGGACATCTCTGCAGGGATCAGATGGTCAATCTCGTACTAGTTTGTAGTTCTTATCCACTGTGGAAAAACGGATGAGGTGAATTTCAGGGGGCTTTGGCATCCTGTCATCCCATATATACTCTGGAGAAAGCAGCTTGGAGGGTTTGTGGGAGAGGAAGTGCCTGTTGAGATGGCTTTCCTCCTGATAGGCTGCCATGATCCCATTGGCTTTGTCCGCCAGGATAGTCATGTGGCAAGTCTTGGTGAACTCATAGACTTTCTTGACCAGCCCTCCAAACACAGCTCCTCCGTAGTAGAAGTCCCCTTCTCCATCAGGGATGTAGGCTGCTGAAGAGCTCCTCCTCTCATAAGGGAACTGGCTTCGAGGCACGTTAAAATAGCCAGGGTGTATGGCTGCTACCATATCACCGAGGGTCTCAGGCCCCCAGGCGTTGTGGAACACCATGTCAATGTCCAGGCAGAAGAGGTAGTCCACCTCCCGATGGCTCGTCTCTGCTATGTGCTTGTTTATGGCCTCCATCCTGCGCATGGAGATCTCTTGCCAGCTGGAGTATTTCTTGATGGGGACAATGACAAGCCATCGTCCAGGTTGCAGCTGGATGTCAGGAATTGTCTCGGGGTTGTCAGTGAAGATGTAATAGTTCACGCGATAGCCTCTCATGAAATGTTTCTCTGCCGACTCCAAGAAGTGGCCCACAAACCTTGTGTATCTGTGCAGACACAACATGGGAATAGCACAGCAGACATAAGGGGAGGCATGGTGGATTATTGAGGGTACTTTAATTAAAGGAAGAAGACAAGGGATGAAGAGTGTTGACTGGTTATTCCTGCAAGGATCCATACACCATACGTGCAATAGGTGAAAGTTTAGTGGAAGGCAAGGAACAAGTGGGTTATCTCTGCATTGACCAACCAACCACCCATCTACAGCTCCCATTCCCAAGGCACATGCTGGTTCTTCAAAAATACCGACCATGCTACAGGTACCTCGGGTGCCCAGTCTGTTATCTTGTAGGCTTGTATCTGATTATGGTCACAATGCCTGGGCATAGAAGTTTACAACAGATTGGGACAGAGCTCAGCTCTGCTCAGGACATGAAAAGCCAACATGATCTTTCGAAAGAGGAAGTACAGCAACCGAAGAACTGTGCCCACCCAGCGGTCCACTTACTTTCCAGTGGCAAAGGCTGTCATCCCTATGGTGAGGTTCAGGGGCCTGTAGGCACTGTCTAGGATCTCCGAATTGAAGGTTCCTTCCCAGACGATGGGGGCCAGCCACGGGGCGACTGTCAGCACATCCTGACGCCTGAAGGAAAAGAAAGGGAACGTTAACGAAATGCAACTGTTCCTTTTGGTTTCAAGGCCAGTAAATGGGAAAGAAACGCTAAAAAGGCAGCTAGAAGAAGAGCGTGTGTATCAGCATTAACTCACTATGGATGGTATTATCATCAGATCTTTTTCCCTGCTCTCTTATTTAAGGTTACCAAGCATAGACATTTCAGTTTCTGGGATTAAATTAAGCACTGTTTAATGAACAGGCAAGACCCCAAGGACCTACTAAAATCTCATTTAAGCTCACAAGACTCTTCTGCTGAGGAGAATTTAATGACCACTGAACTCACAGAACAGGAAACTACGTGTATTTGCTATCAGTCTGATGCCGATTGCTACATACAGATAAAACACAAGTAATAATATGAAAATCACTATTAAAATACATCCCATTGCTTATTATTTAAACACAGGTTGCAGCATGACATTTTCCCCGTTTTTATATATAGCTTTAACATATTCAGATACAATGAAAAACTCTGTATGTAAGCCAGCATTCAAATATGTGACAAAGTTACAGAAAATCCTTTTTCTCCTGTGTGGGTAGTGGAAATATTGACTATACATGCAGTGGAGTCTGATTATGCCCTGTTACAGCTATGCAATGCTATTTCAACTCTCTTTGTTTCCAGGCTTGCTTTCTTACCTGTTTGATTTTAAAACAAGGTGTCATTTATGAGGTGTAATTTACCCTAGCCCGCTCCCATTTGCCCCAGTCCATGATTGTTGAAAATTGCAGAGGGAAAAAAAAAATATATATATATGTAACAGGGTGTGTTTATTAACATGCAAAAGAATGGTGGCATTTGAAGGTGAACTGCTAGAGATAAGAGTCAGGTCATAGGAACTGGACCAGAGGAGACTGCTAACAAACATGAGCCGACAAGGAGCGTTTGCCTAAGTCACTTCTTAGCAACTGCTGCCTGAACCTTCCATGTCTGTTTAAACTCACTGGTTTGAGACCTGTCTGTGTGAGCGCCTGCATTTTGTTCCAGCATAAAATCCAGCAGGTTAGCTGAACCCACTGCTGAAGGTCGTACAAACCACCTGCTTGATTTTGCTCTGAAAGGGATTCAAAGTTCTCCCACAGCTGGTTACAGCTACAACACAGTTCCAAAAGGTATTTCTTGCTGTCTTCCAGCTATTATATATCTCCCATCTCAAAAAGAGTTCCTGGTAGCAACCATGGAGACAGGCTGTTTGTGTGTGCTAATGTATTAATTAGGAACTTACAGTAGGTATGTTGGTAAGTATATAGTGACTAAACTCAGCCTTACAGCAGCACAGACAGCTGCAGATATACCCGTATGGTCAGGCTGCCCGTGGAACTGGTCAGTGTTTAGCTGGACTTTATGAGTGCCACAGAGCACCTAAACCAGAGTTAGCAGAAACAAATTACAAACTTCAAACAAAAAAAAACAAAAAAAAAAAAACCAACTTACTTTGGGGCCAGCACTCTTGGCTGCTGATAAAATAATCTGTAAAAAGGAAGAAATATCCACTGAATAAGACATGAATATGCCCAGAAGAGAGGAACAGCAGTTTAAAGGTCAGGAAATAAAAATCCAGTACTTACTGGGGGAAAAGCTGAATGAGCTTCTCTTCTGTATACTGGAGTTTCACGGAGCTGCATCACAGGGTGGGAAAAGAAAGGGATTGTAATGCTTTTCCTAAAATACGAACCAGGTTCAGCTTCAGGACCTGCTGCTGTACTGACAGCTGTCCAAGTCCCCACTCCAGTTGCAGTGCACGCTGCTCTGCCTGGTACAGAGAGTTAGACGTTGCCCATACACAAGGGCTGTCAGACGAGTAATAGTTTTGGAACAGAGCATACAACAGAAGAGGGACAGGGAGAAGCTGGCAGGTCTCTGAGCCTGTGGGTAAATCCGAGTTTAGGGGTCAAAATCTAAGGAAGCACGTGCCTCTTGGAGACTGCCAGTACTGGTGATGTATATGCCCCATTCCCTGCATTTCCTTTTCACCTGGAGGGCTGAACAACCTGAAATATATCACACTCTAAACAGCATTCAGAGAAATAAGCATCTTGCTAGGCGTGATGTTTTTTAATGGCTTGAAGTAATCAGAAATAAGAGAACATATTTTCTGTTTGCACTTTTTATTTTGTTTTTACAAGATCTTTAGGTCATGATAAAGAATGGGAAAAGCTGTGGCTTGTCATCTTACACCTCTGGTCCGATATGGCAGTGAAGTCACTTAGGACACGCACCCTGCTCCTCCAGAGTGTGAATTCTCTTTTATGCAGCTTTGAGATAGCTTTTAGGACCCATGGTAAGTCAGTTAGCTGTACATTGGTTTGCAGCATGCAATGAGGCCGATCGCTGAAACTGTAAGGGTTCTGGAGAAACAGCTCCCCTCTCACTTTGTTCAGAGCAGGCTTCTGGTCCACAGTTGATGTGTTGCCACTGACACAAATACATTCATAAAGTGTGTGGAAAGCACAGATTGCAGACTGAAGAAGAGGAGCACAACTAGGAGACTGAGGGATTATTTCTCACTCTGCCAGAACTCCTTATGTGACCGTTCATTTCACCTCTCTGACTTAGGTTTCTCCATCTAGTGAGCTGGGAGACTGAATCCACATCTCAAAGCACCCTGAGATCCTGTCGGACCTGTACGTGCATGTGTGTGATTGTAACCTGATAATGAAGCCATTGTTAACCTGTTAGTCACAGTCTCTGTGACCCACAACAAACAGGCTGTACAAACGCAGAGCTGTTCTGACAGGCAAGCAGCCTAAAGCCCAAAAGGTTGCATTATTACTGTGTTGTTTTAAGAGAGTGACTCATTATAGATTCAAAGAACAAACGAGTACTTGTTAATAACTACCTATCCTGGGAGTGAAGCACAGCTCCCCTAACAACCATCTGTGTTATTCATCACATACCCAATGCGATACTTACAAGATTTCAGGGCAAGGAAGGTAATATGGGAGGTAGTGAACTTTTCCATTCCCAACTGCGATCCTGTGTTAGCAAAGAAACATTTTAAGATAAGTAACATTGAAAGATATCTTCCTAGGATTTTCCAAGATCATCTCAGAATCTGGCACAGAAGTAACTGTAGCTAACTGCATGTCTACTAATTAGCATAGGATCCACTGTATTCACATGAAGATATACTGCCGCTAAGACACAAATGGGAAGCTCAGGACAAAAGAAGTTCAGAAGCATTCAGCTTGTAACATCAGGTCTGATTATTTACATAAATATCTGCAAAATGTAGATCTACACGTTTTTGAAAAGCATACAGCAATGGAGACACATAAGGCAAGGCTCCAAAGGGATAAATATGCAATATACACTGATGGGATATACTGACACTTCTGGAACTTTAAATGCTCTGTGTGTGTCCTTTCCTCTGCGCAGCAGACAAATAGGCTGCATGAGCTTTTTTTCTCCCTGCAGGTTTGATCACAGTCTATATAGATTTTTATATACAATCACTTAACTGCTGGTGAAGTGCAACTACCCACAATGTGAAATAAGAGCAAATTGCAGCATCAGAAATACAGTATTGCTAATAATAGTTTAATAATTATTAATCAATAACTTAATAGTTACTAGAAATGCCTGATCTCAGATTCCTTTCAGACAATGTTCAAGCTTGCTCAAGAGATTCTGTAAGGCATAGTCAGTAGCCAGTAACTCAAAGCTACAATCATTATCAATGTTTGAAGGCTGCAATATTTGATAGCTACAAAGCTGTCCCTAGTTACACGAGAGGGAGTTTGGACTGTTTGAGGAGACACGTCAAAGCCTGAACCGAAATGTAATTGGAATATTCTGTTCTTGAACATTTGTTTGTGGGTCAGATACGGCGTTAGCAGCCTGATTTAGACACAATTGGTCTTTCTCTCCTCTCTGCCTTCAGAGGCTTCTCCCTCTGCTCGTGTTACATTCTCTGTTATCCGTACTGCTGTTCTTCCTTACAGCTCCAACAGGGACCTTCCATAAAACGTACTGCCCAGGTTTTTCTGCTACTACGCTTTTCACCACAGTATATAGACAGGATGGTTTAAAATACGATCAAGCTTGTCAGTAAATGCTTACCAGACAAAAGCAGTAGCAACGAACAGACAAACGAGAGATCCCAAGACTTTCCTGGAAATCATGTCTTCTAGAGTAGAAGAAGGGGCAACTTCGTACTCCCAGCAGCTTCAATCTGCAAAGAACAAAAAAGCAAGGGAAAATGGCTGTAAATATCTCACCATGAGAGAAATAGATTATTTTGTCATAGAAGCACGAGGTTCTCCAAGCAGTTTCATTTCAATTCAGTCTTTCTGAAATCAGGAACATGGAAGGAACCAGACTGTAAGAGCCAGGCCACTCAGTCACAGCGGCAGATCCTGTGAACTGTTTGAGAAACCTCTCCCTTTCGGTGAGATCTCATCAGAGCGATAAGTGCACAGGAAGCCTTTCTGATTTGATCCCACTTTCTGTAGATTCCATTTATTCATCTAAAGCACACACCCTTTGCAATTTAATAATCCACAGCCAATGGTCTCAGGCGATATGGAGAGCTAACACAGTTACCATCTGAGCTGATAAATCTTTCCATCCTTTCACAGAAGACAAACTGCCAGAGCCAGCTCCCTCCAAAGGTGCACAC